AAAAAAAAAAAAAAAAAACACGGTGTTATAACACCAAGATCAAGGGTCCAGATCCCCATATGGGCCAGATGCCAAAGAAAAAAAAAACTTTATGAAATGTAAACTGGAAACAATCATTTATGAATTAACACTGTGTTATTTAGTAAGAGATTTCAAACGTGTCAGAGTGTTAATAAATGAATATTATATGTTATATATTAATGTAACAAATGTTATTATATAATAATATTTATTATATATGAATATTTATGTATCATATTCGTATTACAAGATGGTTGGTTAGCTCACTTGGTTAGAGTGTGGTGTTGATAACACAAGGTCAAGAGTTTAGATCCCGGTACCAGCCAGCGGCCAAAAAAAAAAAAAAATTATAGTGACCAATGAACTACTATAATCACGTTTGACTATTTTTTCATCTTTCATTTTCAACCTCTCATTGGGAAAATGGGGGGTCACTCATATTCGGGGTCATGTTAAATTTAGCTTATATAGAAACTCCTGCTCCACCTTTTGACCTCAGCTCCCAGAGGAGACCCAAGCCCTGAACACACTCTCCTGGCCCCACATACCCACCCACAGAGCCACACAGGTGTGATTTTACATTTGGTTCTGCGTTTTTGACTTTGGCTTTTGTTTTTTCTTTCTTTTGTCTTTTTTGTGACCGGTAAGGAGATCGCAACCCTTGGCTTGGTGTCGTCCGCACCACGCTCAGCCAGTGAGCGCACCGGCCATCCCTATATAGGATCCGAACCCTCGGCGGGAGAGCCACTGCGCTCCCAGAGCCGCACTCTCCCGAGTGAGCCTCGGGGTCGGCCCTTGTTTTTTCTTTTTTTAAAAAAAAGGTGACCGGCAAGTGAATCTTAACGCTTGACTTGGTGTTGTCAGCACCACACTCACCCAGTGAGACAACCGGCCATCCCTACAGAGGGATCCGAACCCGTGGCCTTGGTGTTGTCAGCACCACACTCTCCCGAGTGAGCCACAGGCTGGCCCGACTGGGTCTATTTTTGTTCACCTTTTATTCCTACTACAGACATCCCTGGCACACATATTCTTTCTTTCTCTCTCTCTCTCTCTCTCATTCTTTAGTGAACTTAAACATGTGCTGCAGATAGAGCTCGATCGAACCTTTCAGACAAGGACCCAGGAGCTCTGCCTAGCACAGAAGAAAGAGCAAGTCAATAATTACACACTAATTGCACATGGATGTGGGTAAAACCTAAAGTAGGGAGGAGGCTGAGGAGTAACGGGGAGCTATTCAGGTAGGAACGGGTAGAAGGAGGTCAAGAAGTATTTGTGGAATGAATGCACCATGGCCCTGAGGTATGTCCCCTACTGGCCAGAGGCCCGAGTGGCACTTGGCCACAATCAGAAGGCACCCGCACAAGCCCTTTGTGAGCCCCACGCAGTCCCCACTGCTCTGCCCATCGGGCACTATGCCCTTCTGTGGCAAGGACTAGAGGAACCTCAGAGGCCAGGTATCTTGCTCAAGCTCACCAGAGACAGGATTTGAACCCAGCTCTATGGGAGCCTCGGGCTCTTCCCCTTGGCCACTGCCTTCCCAGGCTGTGCCAATGGGCTGCAGGCAGGGTCCTGGGACCCCATAACCTTGTTGCCCCCCTGGGAGGCCTTTCTGGCACTGGCCTTACTGCTCAAGGCCCCTACTCTTTGTCCTTGACACTGGAGGTCACTGCCCCTGGTCCTCACCTGGGACAGCCATGTCTGGGCATCCAGGATCCTCAGGAGACTGTGGGGCTGGTCTACCAGGAGGTCTAGGCAGGACTCCCTTGGAGATGGCGGGACAGGCACCCAGGGCAGCAACTCCCGCTGACACTCCTCCTGGGAACAGCCAACATTTGGCCATTTACAGAACGTGTCCATGCTCGTGGGGAACCTCACAGAGCTGCAGGAGGGATGACCCTCCCATTTTACAGATGAGTAAACTGAGGCTCAGAAGGACTGAGATGCCCCATGGAAAGGAGGCTTCAGGGCATAGCTCTCAGGTCACTACTCTCTTTACCAAGGATGGCGTCTGCTCTGCAATGCCGGGGTGTCCCCTGCCATGTACATGCCAGCTTCCTGTACCTGCTCCTGGGCTAGCAGCAGCTGGCTGGAGAAGAGCTGCAGGCGCTCGCTGGCGAGGTTGTTGCACAGTTGCTCCAGGCCGTTCACCCGCAGCGCCTGGGGGCACATCTCCAGTGAGGTGGGCACACACGCGAGGCAGGGGCACAGGGCAGGTGGGGCCAGCACACAAGCCTGTGCCCTCATCCCCCTCCCATAAGGGCTGCCCCCATTCTCTCCAGGGCACACAGAGGAGTGCTGCCCCAGGGCTAAGGCTGCAGCCAATAGGGTCAAGTCCAAAGGCCCTAGCACAGCATGGGGGCTGCCTCAGCTCTGCCCCGGCCAGACGTCAGGCCTCCCTCTAGCCACCCACACCCCTGCCCTCTGCTTCAGCACTACTGTGAGCCTTTGGGCCTCTTGCCATGACCATCCTGTGGTCTGGAAGGTTCCTGTTCCTACTATCTAGCTCACTGGCTATCATAATCCCACTTCCTCATAAGCAGAGCTCCAGTGGCCACCTCCAAGAAGCCTTCCGGCATTTCTCCTGTAAGGGCTACGGCACTTTCCTCTGCGCTGCCCCAGCACTCTACTTACTGCCCGGCAGAGCCACTGCGTAAGCAGCTCTGCACACCGTGCAAAAGACACACACAAGTGCGTGCACACACACACACACCACAGTCACCACCCTCCTCAGGGAGGGGATGGTCACCAAGGACACACTGTGCAAAGCAGGACGTGCAAAAGACACACACAAGTGCGTGCACACACACACACGCCACAGTCACCACCCTCCTCAGGGAGGGGATGGTCACCAAGGACACACTGTGCAAAGCAGGAAAGAGCAGGGGCAGTGGACAGTGCCCATCCAGGGACAGACAGAGGAGACCACCTCCTCTCCCTCCACCCCCTTCTCGTTGCCCTAAGGAGGCAGGATCTTCTGGAAAGGGGTGCACAGCTTGTGACAACTCAGGGAGATTTGGGGGACTCTCCTTCCCTCCCCTCTTGGTGTGTGGAAGGTGAGGCTGTGGGCAGGCCCATCCTGGGGCCTCTGTGAGTTTCCACAAGGCCAACCAGACAGAACTCTCGAGAGGCAATTTCAGGACTGGTCAGAGCAGGGCAGAATGGCCGCACCTATGGAGCACACGGCTCTCTCATGGACCATCTCCTTTAAACCTTTGCAACCCACGAGGTAGATCCTGTTATGATCCCTCCTTCACAGACGGAAATGCTGGACCTCAGAGAGGTTAATGAACTTGCCGAAGGTTGCACAGCTAGTGAGTGGCAGCTTTGGAGCTTCCAGGGCCTTTGCTGTCACCTGCTGTGCTAAGCAATGCCTCCTAGCAGGAGGACAGCACGCACTCATGCTAAGCTTGTAGTGGGCTCCAGCCTCTCCCAGAAAGAAGCTCGGGGCCCAAGGCTGTCCAGCCCAGACCCAGAAAAAGAAGCAGAGGTCCTGCCCGGAAGTAAACATGGCATGTGGCAGGAACATCCTTTCCATAGCTTGGGGCTGTGGGGGCTGGGGGAGAAGTGGAAGAGAGAACCCAAGTTCCGTGCCAGCCTGGCTCCTCAGCTAGACTCTAGGCCTGCTTTCTGTCCATCTCTGCACCCTCATCCCCCAGCACAGCTCAGCCCACAGTCACCCAGTGCAGAAGGGGCCACTGAAGGCACGTTCCAGGCAGGCTAGCATTTTGTAAGTGCCCCACAGGGAGAGCTGGAGCTGCTGGGATCTCCAGAAATACACCAAGAGGAGATGGGCACCCCCTATCCTGGGCCCCACTCCAAGGGGTGACCTCAAAGCCGTAGACATCAACAACAGTGATGGTGCCCACGCTGTCTCCCTCCTCGGGTGGTGCCAGAAGTGCATTGGTCCTGCTCAGAAGCCAGTTGAAGAGCTGTGAGTAGAGAGCCTTGGCCAGGGCATCCCTGTGGGTATGGTGAGTGAGCCACGTGGAGCAGAGCACCAGGCCCATCCCTGGCACTCTCCTGTCACCAGGGCCACCTGGCATCAATGGCACTTTCCACGGGCAGGGATCGCAAGACCCGGCCATAGGGTGTCTCCTGGAGGGCAGAGGAGAGGCATGTGGCACATCAGGCCCGTGGCCCACACGGGCACTCACCCAGCCTGAAGGTGGTCCAGGGTGGGCCTCCACCTCCCAAGGACCCTTGGGCTCACCAGGACCCTCCTGGTGACAGCTCCCTCCAAGCGCTCTGGTGGCACCCTCAGCAGCCGAGCTGCCGTGTGGATCTCAACCCAGCTGGATACAGCAGCCACCTCCTGGGACTCCCACTGGATAGAGAAGGGAGGGATAGGGAGAGCACTGGTGGCATGGACACGTCCCCCAGGGAGGGGGCAGGTCACTGTCCAGCAAGCTGCCCTGTCACCCAAGGGGATGACAGCACTGGGAGATCTGGGCCATTACGAGCCAAGCTCTGGGTCTGGGATCAAGTCCGAGTCCTGCCTGGCTTCTTTCCTAGCAGGATGGCTCTGGCAAGTCTCCCTCCTGCCCTGAGCCTCCACTGCCTTATTGATGAAGGGGAGACAATAATAACCCTCATGTTACGGTGTTGTCCTGAGAGCTCAATCAGAAAACACATGTAAAGTGATTTACACAGTGCTAGGCACAGAGTAGCTGCCCAGCGAATGCCAGGTGTTCTCAGTGATGGCGGCTTAGGGGAACAGGCGTTGGGACAGATACAGAAGCTCCAGGTATCAGTTTTCTCATCTCTACCATGGGGATCTGCCTGCTTGCCAGGGCAGTCCAGGGCTTTGTGCTCCCACACACAAGGGTTTGGCATCAGGACCATCACCCTGATTAAGCAAATGAGCCATCGCTGGCCCCTACCCACAGGGGAGCCCACCTCGGAAGGGCAGAAGCAGATGTTGCCCAGCTGCAGGATGGCGGCCAGCACGGCCCACACTGCGGTCAACTCCTCGGGGCCCAAGCCCAGCATCTGCAGGGCCTGCACCAGCCCTGTGAAGTCCTGGGCATCGTCCTTCCCCTGCAGCCTGCAGGCCCGGCCCTGCAGAGCACAGCAGATGGAGTAGGCAGGCCCTGGCCGCCCATAGCCTCCCCCTACTCCGCTCCTCCTCAGACCCCTGGCTGAGACCCTTCTCTGGACAGACCCTCTCCCCCAGGTACCTTGAGGGCCTTGCCCCCACCTGGTTGAGGTAGAAGTAGGTCTCCGGTCCCTGCAGGGACAGCTGCTCCTGCTCCATGGGGTCCAGCCCTGCCAGCAGCTCATAAAAAACATGGAAGCTCCGTTCAGCCTGGGCCTTAGGGAGAGGGACTGGCTTAGGGGAAGCGACGGCCTGGGGGCTTAGGGGCCACAGCCCCCTACAGTGGTCCCCTCCCTCTTTCCCACTCTGGGGGCTGAAAAGGGGTGGGCAGCAGGATGGCTCTTACCTGAAACACCACCCTTGAGGTCTCAAGTAGAAAATGTGACACAGAGGCTCCCACAATGACCCCTCTGTGGGCACAGGAGATAGGGTGGGGACTCTGCTCAGAATGAGCTGCACTAGGGGCTGGACTTAAGGGCAGCAGCCTCAGTTTCCCAGTAAGAGATCATGGGTGCCCCCTGTGCCCATCTGGACCCCCTGTCACTCACTGCTGCAGCCAGAGGCAGAAGACCTGGCCGAAGCGGCTGGCGTTGGCATTGAGGATGGTCTTGGCGTGGCCAAAGCTGCTAAGCACGGGCAGCACGTTATGCAGCTGTATGGGGGGGACATTCAAGTATCCCTGGGACAGCAGTGGTACCCACCAATCAGGCATTCCAGCTGAGGGTACTCTATGCCTGCTGTGTCCATGGAGGGGACCTCACACTGTCCCCAAAGTAGGCATGCCTGGGGCTAACCCCAGGAGAAGTCAGAGGCCTGAAGACCACCCTCTTCCTGGCCCAAAAGAGAACGGTCCCTCTCAGATCCATGGGAAATGGCCAGCTACTCCCTGGAAGGAGACAGGGAGCCCAGCCGGTTCATGAGAAGCCTCTGGCCTGGCCCTCACCTGACATCCTTTGTCCCGTGTCTGCTCCTGCTCCAGGCTGCTTAGGAACTGCATGATCTTCTTGGCAGCTTCTGTCTTCCCTGAGCCACTGTGCCCACTGCAGGAGGGAGGGACTAAGGATGGGGATGGAGGCTGGTAGATCTCCAGGAAGGGGTGTATAGGAGCCAGAGAAGTGGGGGTGTACCACCTGACAGTGACATCTACCCTGAGGGAGACGCTCAGAAATGTAGAAAGATAGAGGCAGGGCCTGGAGACCAAACAGAAAAAGTCCCCAGATGCCACATTAAAGGGGCACATGCGATGACTTCAGGCAGGAGTATGGCCCTGAAGAAGTTGAGAGCTGCCACCCAGCAGGGGACCAGAAAAAGAGTTCCAAATGCAAAGCTCACACCCCCACCCACCGACCCTCAGCATGGCCTGTGGGTTCAGTGGAGCAGGGCAGCCAGGACTCACCCCAGGAGGATGCAGGGGTCCTGCCCAGTGCTCTGAGACAGGCTATAGGCTGATGCCACAATGGCAAAGATGTGTCTGGGAAGGAGGGTGGGGGAAGATGAGAAGGTTGCCAGAGATGGACATCCGGGGCTGATGGAGTTTGTATGTGTTGTCACCTCCAAAACTCATGTGGAAATTTGATCCCCAATGTAGCAGTGTTGGAAACTGATTGAGTCGTGGGGGCGGATCCCTCATGAATGGATTAATGCTCTCCCTGGGGGAGGGGGGATTCGTGAGTGAGTTCTAGCTCTATTAGGTCCCACAAGAGCTCATTGCTTAAAAAGACCCTGGAACCTTCTCTCTCTCTCTCACTTCCTCTCTCTTGCTTCCTCCTGCCATGTGATCTGCCTGTACCCACCAGCTGCCTAACACTTTCTGCCATGAGTAGAAGCAGCCTGAGGCCCATGCCAGATGCAGCTGTCCCAGAATCATAAGCCAAATAAACCTCTCACAGCCTGGGGTTCGTCGCCGCTCGGGCGCTCGCCCGGCTCCGGCGCTGACCCCAGGCCGCTTGGGGTCTCTTCTGAGCCCGTGTCCCTTGGCTCCGGCTTGGGCGGCAGCTCCAGGGTCCCGCCGCTCTGGCTGCCGCTCTCCTGGGCCGCGCGGGCTTCGCTGTCCGGGCAGGAGCTGCCTCCGTCCCCGCCCGACGTGTCCCCATCGAGACTCCGGGTCTCTCGGCGGCTCCTTCGGGCTGAGGGTCCCCGATCTTTTCCTTTTCTTCTGCGTCGACTGCGCTCGCCTGTCCGCCCTTCTCCTCGGGACAGGCTTTCCTCTCCCAGGGGCCCCCCACGGCTGTCCCCCGGCTCGCCGCTCTCCTTGGGCCCGCGTCCCCGACGCCGCGTGCTGCGTCTCTCCTGGGCCTCCGGTGGCAGCCCAGCCCGTGGCCGTCCGCAGTCTCCATTCCCTTCACCGGTGAGCTCCCTACGGCCACCAGCGGTCCCCTGGCCTCCGGCGGTGGCGGGCTCCGTGTCTGGTTTCGCCAGGTGAGCCTTGTCGCGGCTGGGTCGTCGTTCCCGACCGGGCGCGCCGTCCGCGCTGGCCGACCCGGACCCCTGCTCCCCCGATGCCGGCCTCCCGGGTCTCGCCGGGTGCTGGGGCGCTTTGCCCTTGCTCCTGCCCATGGCCGGCCCAGAGAAGACCGGCTTCCCGACGCCCCGGCTGGCTCCCCTTCCCGTGGATCTGGCTGCCTGCAGGCGCCCTCGGCTGTCTCGGCAGCGCCACCGCAGCTCTGCTCTGGTGGGGGCTACAGACTCAATCTACCCCCAGGGGCTCCCGCCTTAACGCACCAGCATCAATAATGCAGGTGGGGCGAGTCCTGACCCCCTCGGCCAACAATGGAGCAGAGGCCGCCCAGGAAAGAGGAGACGCTGCAGCTGCGGACAAAGGCCGCCGACAGGGCAACCGTGCTGCCCGCGAGTCGCTGCCAGCCAGGCCAGCCGGGCACCGGGCCAGACTGAGGGGCTCCCGCCTCGCTGCTTACCCAGGGGGACAGGATGAACCTGTTTGGGCCTCTTCCTGGTCCTGGGGGCTCCAGGAGGCTGGGAGCAGGCCCACCATGGCAACACAGCAAGCACTTAATGAGTTTTGTTAGTTTTTTTGCTCTTTTCCATTGTGAAATATAATTTACCAAAAAGTGCATAAAACATAAATGTACACCTTGAACTGGTTTAAACAAATGCCTGTGGATCCCCTCGAACTCAGGAACACAACCACACCCCTTAAATCCCCAATTGCCCCAATATTTGTGGATTTTTTTGTTGTTTTTGTTTGGGTTTTGGCAGCTGGCCAGTTTGAGGATCTGAACCCTTGACCTTGGTATTAATGTGTGTGTGTGTTTTTAAATATTTATGTTTTGAACAGGTAACACATTAACGTAGTTCAAAATTCACAAGATAAAAACCTTCCATTCCTGATCCTCAGCTACCCAATTTTCCTGTGCGGTTTACCCATTTCTGTGTTTTCCAGAACTATCCATGCAGAGAAAAACTAATTCATTTTATTTTTTCCTTTTAGCACAAGTGGAAGCTTGTCTAGCTCCTGGGTCTTCACTTTGCTTTCTCACTTAGTTTAACTTGGAGATTTCATGATACATAAAGAGTTTCCTCCCCCCCCCCCATTTTAATAGCTGCATAAATATTCCAGCAAATCTCTAAATTAGAAATGCACATACCCTATGGTTCAGCAATTCCTCCTTCTAGGAATTGATTCTATTTGGGTTCTGGTGAAATTATATTCCAGTGTTGTTTGTACTTTAAGCAAAAAAAAGAGACGAAGGCAGCACCCACTTCAGATATACAAATCTATTGGTAAGGAATTGTTTAAACTATGGTGCATTAATTTGCTGCCACATTCCCTCAGAATGCTCTCCAGGGGCCGGCCCGTGGCTCACTCGGGAGAGTGTGGTGCTGATAACACCAAGGCCACGGGTTCGAATCCCATATAGGGATGGCCGGTTTGCTCACTGGGTGAGCGTGGTGCTGACAACACCAAGTCAAGGGTTAAGATCCCCTTAACGGTCATCTTTTTTTTAAAAAAAAAAAAAAGAATGCTCTCCAGTCAGCCGGTACCTGCCTCATGCCATCTCTGTGAGCACTCCTAGGACCAGCCTCAGACCTGGGTGGAGCTGCTGCAATCATTCACCTTACCTGGGAGGGCCAGTCACAGCCCAGGGGACTAATTGAAGGACAATTTGAAAGTGACTCGACCTTTGCATTCTGCATGCTCAAGGGGGCAGCCTTCTTGAGAGGGAGGCAGCTGTCCCAAAAGACCACAAGCTCATGGGTAACATCAGCCTGTAGAGGTCTGTAAGCTGTACCCTACCACCACCAACACTGATGGGGCAAAGGGCGATGTTATTCAGAAGGCTTGTTTCTCTTGCAGAAAGCAGGACGTAGGATGAGGTGTTCACACAGTGAATTATTACACAGCATTGGGAACTATCTACAACTGCAAGGAACAACATGAATAATCTCGCAAACAGAACAGGGAGCGAAAGAAGCCAGTTGAATATACTAATTATCCTAATTTGAGCATCACATATTGCACATGGGTATTGATTTTCAATGCTGTACTTCACAGATGTGTAAAATCAATTGTTTCAAAAAAAAAACAGGCACGAAAAAAGTAGCCACTCTATAAAGTACAAAAACAGGCAAAGTCATCTATAGAGTGCTACCCCCTGAGGTTGGTAGTGACTAGAAGGGGGCAGGAGGGGGCCTCCAGGATGTGGGTGGTGCTGTTTGTCCAGTTTGTGGGGGTTTGTCGAGTTGCACTCCTGTGACATGTGCACTGTTTCATAAAGATAATACAGAGAAAGAGCTCACTGTTTTGTCCTGGACAAACAACAATAATAATAGCCAATAGCTGGCACTTCAGGGCTTATGAGGTGCCAGGCGCTGTTCTAAGCACTTTGCTATGAATTCATTTAATCCTTGAAAGCACTCTAAGAGGTAGGTGCTCTGAGGATTCCCATTTTATGGATGATACTACTGAGGCACACAGTGTCAGAGTGGGATGCCAACCCAGGCAGTTTGGCACCAAAGGTCCAGATGGAGAATGAGTGTGAGGAGTGTCAAAACACAAAATTACAACAAGTTTAAAGATCTCAAGTGGCTTTTATTTGCAATTCTAGAATTTGGGCAACACTTGATTCCATAAAAGAAGTGCTCCAATGAGCTGAACAGAAGAGGTTGGTTTTGTAGACAGAAAAGGGTTAAGGACAGCAGAAATAACAAAAAGCAGATTGGTTATTTCAAAGTTACTTTCCTTGTAAAGGTTGTAGTGGAGGGGACTTTCTGATCATGCCAGCTTAAACTGGACCTTTTGGGAATTTGGCTATTATCTCTCTCTACTGATTTCTTAGAAGGTCAGATAAACAATGTAGTTTGGGCTCAGTGATGTGGGACTTTAGCATGAGTGACTCCAACTTTGCTGGTGTGTTGGGCCCAGTGCAGAAGCTCAGTTCATCCCAGTGACCGCCTATCAATTTTATTTAACAGGAGCCGACACCACTACAAACAGAGCTCCAGTTCCTCAATTGCCCCATGACAACGTGTCCTGCGTGCTCTTGAGACAAGCTCTCCAGCTCTGCATAAGGATGCAGCTTGTAAATGAGGAACTGGAGACCAAACTCAGGTTTCTTGACCCTTTGTACCTACTATTCTGCTGAACCCACACTGTGGGGCTCCACAGTGCTTTTGCTGGGAATCAGCTCAGGAACCAGACAGCCTTGGTCCCCCATCCAGCTGCACCACTCCACCTCCTGGGTGTGTGACCTTGAACAATCTTCAAGGGGCCACCTGGATCATCCTGACTCCAGGGACAAGAGGCCTCACCCCCCAAGCGGGGTTCTCTCCTCTGGCTCCTTTTCCCCTTCACTTCTTTTGCCTGCTTTGCTCTCCAGTGAGTGTTGTGTGCTCCTCCGTGGGGCTGTGTGCCGGGCACTCTCCCAACTCCATCCACACTCCCTCCCTCCCAGAGCCGTCTCCTCCCACCCGACCTCACCCACCATCCACAGTAACTCTCACCTCCTTTGGTTGGGTGTTTACTAGAAGCCAGGTGCTGTATGACTTTACACACTCTCATTTCATCTGTACAACCCTTGGGGTAGGTCTGATTATTATCCCCCATTTTACAGATAAGTAAACTAAGGCACAGGAGTGAGATCATGTACCCAAGGTCACATGGCCGGTCACTGGAAAAGCCAGTGTTCAAGGGCTAGATCTGCATGACTTCAAAATCGAAGTGCTCCACCTCTTTGGATGCCCAAGACCCTCAGATCCAAGTCTCAGACCATGAATCCAGTTGCCCACTATGCACATCTTCATGGCCCCAGGAATCAGCAGGGACCCCTCCCACTTACTCGCCTTCTCCCATCTGGCAGTGGTCCTTGTCAACCCAATCTCTCAGCGCCTCCATTTCGTCATCACCGTCACCTCTCCCTGGACTGCTGCGAGACCCCCAACGCTGCTTCCTGTGCCAGCCCCGCTTCCTCCCACTCGCTTTCTAGAGAAGAGGATGCCAAGCCCTTCTGTCGTGCACACCCCTCAATAAAATCGTTCATCTCACACTCCCAGTATGAGAATGTTTTCTTAGAACTGAAATATGCAAACCACTGACATTAGCTAACACTTCAAAGCACAGTCAACTTAAGGCAAAGCTCTTGTTAATGGGAGTAAATCCACTCTCAGGGGTGTGTGTTGTTGTCGGCTTCTTGTGCAATCTCATCAGCCAGACCATTGTCGCAGCCACGGAGCTACTCCGAGTCCCGGACACACAGGCTCTGCCATTTCTCCTGATTCACTGGTGCTCACGTTTTCACCATCACCTTCAGTTCCTGGTCTCCTGGCAGGAAACTTCATGTCACTTGTCCTTTTGTGAGTTAGTTTCGCTAGCTGGATAGAACAAGCTGTATATCCCTTTAAATTCACAGTCAGAAACTCACACAAGAGGGTGGCCGTGGCTCACTCGGGAGAGTGCGGTGCTGATAACACCAAGGCCACGGGTTCGGATCCCTATATAGGGATGGCCGGTTAGCTCACTGGGTGAGCGTGGTGCTGACAACACCAAGTCAAGGGTTAAGATCCCCTTACCGGTCATCTTTAATAAAAAAAAAACAACACACAAGTCTCCCTGTGCTGAGGGGGAGCGGGGCACTGTCTAGCTCTGGGTTGGGATGTTCCCCTCCCACCTTGAGCACTTTTGGCACATGATCCTCTGACCTACGGACTGAAGACCCCAGTGTCAACCCGAAGTATAAACGGTAAAGCTTAGTTTCTTTTATGATAAGAAATAAAGACAGCCTGAGCATAGAATTCTAAGATGTTATTCTTGTCCTGATGAGAGTCTTGTGCACCCTCATCGTTAACCTCACACTCATATGAACCACGAGGGACATACCCGTTTTGCAGAAGAAAGGGACTGCAGAGCAGGTAAGTAACTTGCCCAAGTCACACAAGTGGATCCAAACCCTTGACCTTGGTATTCCAACACTGTGCTTAACCCACTGAGCTAACTGGCTAGCCCTTCCCTAAGATCTGAATGAGACTGATCTCTAGAACAAATCTCAGCATGGCTCTTCCTTGCTTAAAACCCTTCAGATGCCTCCACAGTGTCACCCTCTGGCCACACGGCTTGTTTGTCCTCCCAGCATCCCTCCTCCACTTCTTCCAGGTTAAGGGCACCTCTTCCCTTTGGGGAACTGTTCTTCCGCCTTCCTCATGGTTCTCAGGCTGCCCACCTCAGTAATCCCCTCCACTCCCCCCAAAGAGAAATGAGGGATGGATGGTTAGGTGACCAAGTTCCAAAATCTGAAGAGTAATCTGGACGTGTCCCAGATGGAGGGCGGGTGAAGGCCCCCCTGGGGTGCACCCATCACAGGACCTGGTGCTCAGCTCAGGGGGGGTGGGCTCCTGTCACACGCGGCAGCACCCTCTCCCCCACGAGTCTCCTGCAGCTTTCCACCACTTCCCACAGCAAGTGGACAAGTCCTCACACACTGAGGTCCCCTCTGTCCTCTGTCCAGAACACTGCCCACCCACATGGCCTCTGCCCAGCCAGCTCCCGGTCCTCTCTCAGGACACAGCGTAAGGCCGAACCAGGTGCACTTCTCACAGGCACCTGGGCTTCCCTCATCCCGGCACCTGCTGCACTGTGAGGAGAGAGCCTCACGAGGGCTGGGACCACATCTGTCTTGGCCACCCCGAGTGCCTGGCACACAGTAGGTGCACTACGGATGGGTGAATAAAGACACAGTCCAAGTCCTCTGGCTGCTGTAGCCCTGCCCAGCTGTTCACATCAGCCTCTCACCAGTGGGGTGGCCTCATCTCTGGGCACTGTCCCCACCTCAGCGCCACCCCCAGTCCTCCCGGATTTCCAAAGAAACCACCAGGTCTGAGATACTATAGGTGTTTTCCCCTCCTGACAGGGGAAGGCTAGCCAGGGGCAGCGAGGGGACTCCCGATGTGGCCGACCCAGGGACAGACAGACTCAAGATGGTTCACATTTGCCATTTATTCCCAAAGAGAAGGTGCAGCAGCATTCAGAGGCCACTGCACACAGCTTGCCCTCATTCACACGGCTTAGAAAACAGCTTCTCCTCAGTACCAGCCTGGGCCAGGGGACAAACCCAGGGGGCAAGGTCCCAGCCGAGGCTTTCCATTTACATGAAAAATTTCTAGGCAATTGAAAAATTAAAGTCATTGGATCAGTCCAGTGAAGAGGTAATAAGGTGTTTATTATTAAAAACTCACCCAGAGGCAGTTAAAATTTATAATTTAAAACCCAGCCCACTACAAAAAGGGGGAAAGGGAGGAATAAAAACTGTGCAACGTTGACCAGGCCCCCAAGGGGCAGCCCCAGGGGCCGGGGTCTCTTCTCTCCTGAGGCCAGGAGCAGCAGCAGGTGGGACCCGGCGCTCGCAGCCCCCAGTGGGCCTAGTGCCCGGGACTCTCCGGCGGGGGCGGGCTCCGAGGAAGGGCCCTCAGTAGTGTGTGTTCATCATGCAGCCTGCACGCCCGTCCTGCTCACTCTGCTGTGGGAGGACAGCAGCTCAGGCTCATCCCGGCAGGACGGGGTGCCTCAGCTGCCCACCCTGAGCCCAGACACGGTGGTTTCCAGAACAGCCGGGGCATGTGTCAGGGCGGGACGGACCCAAAGGCCTGTAGGGCCCCATGGAGGGGAACTGTGCTCTTCCTCCTTTCCCTCCCACAGCAGCGCCCAGAGCCCCTACCTCCCCCATTGCTGAGGCTGTGTCCCATGGCCATTCGGTGAGAACGCCAATTGCCATAGCTCCTGCATGGGCAAAGACAGGGGAGTCACTGTCCACCCTTCTCCTCCTGACACCTCCCCCAGAACCCTGGGCACACCCCTGGCAGGCCTGAACAGGGACTTACCCTCGGTCTCCCTCCAGTGTGCTCTGGATTTCTTTCAGGACTCCTGCAGGCCCAGGGTGGGGAACAGAAGCCTGGTGAGGCCAGCCACAAGCCCCTCTCCCCTTTCTACTGGTGGGGTGCTGGTGGGTCTATCCCCCCTCAGGGAAACAGCCCTCAGTTCCTCCCTGGCCCTCCCAGCCTCGACTCACTCTCATCACTGAGCAGGGCATGCTCCATCACCGGGCCGAGCTTCTTCTCTGGAAGGGAGAGGCCAGGTCAGGCGAGCCCTACCCCAGGCCGTCCTCGGCCCAGCTCGCTCCTTACTGAGATGGGGTGCTAAAAGCCCAGGGCTGGATGGAATGCTCTTTCTACTCTCAGCCCAAACACTACCTGCTCAGCTGGGGTCCCCTTCCCTCCCTACCCTCCCAGGTCTGCCCCCAGGCAGCTGGCCCCAAGACCTGTCTTACCCTCTCCATCACTCTGGCTCCCTGAGTTCCTGTGGGGGGAGAGACAGTGAGGACCGAGGACCACTGGGCTCCCCGCCCTGGCTCTGAAAGCCCTGGTCGCATGATAAATAAATGAGGTCAGCTGGCCTGGCCTGCCCTGAGGAAGGGGCCTGGAAGGTAAACTGAGCCCTGGCTTGAACTGGCAGCTTGCACGGGAAGGAGGGGCATATGAAGAGGTGCAAAGAGCCAGAGCCTGGGAGGGGGCTGGACTTAGGGACAGGGACTCTGGCCAGTCAGCAATGAGTGCCTCAGGGTGTCTCAGAGAGGGCAGGGAAGGGAGAGGCTGGAGGAAGGGCCTCCTGCCCTTTCACCCACCTGGCTCTGCCCAAGGCCTTCTCAGAGCCTGCCCCGTTGCGGTGCCTCAGGGTGTCTCAGAGAGGGCAGGGAAGGGAGAGGCTGGAGGAATGGCCTCCTGCCCTTTCACCCACCTGGCTCTGCCCAAGGCCTTCTCAGAGCCTGCCCCGTTGCCCGGGCGTCTGTGGTTCTTCCTTTCTGCTGAATCCACCAAGCACCGGGGCTCAACCAGCCACTTGGTGGAGAGAGAGAAGCGCTCGAACTCCGAGGGCGAGATCAGGTAGAAACCTGGGGAGCGGAGGAAAAGCCTGGCAGGTGAGGGCGGCCCAGGGCTCCTGGCCCTGCAGCTGCCGGGGAGACTTCCCTCCCAGGGGGGAATGAAGGGCCAGAGCCTCCCTCGCGTTCTCCATCTGAGGCCAGTCCAGCCTAGCTGTGACCGCAGCACCCCTGGCAGTGGCCAGGAGCCCCCACACCTGCATACCTTGGCCGTATTTGGTGAAGACGCAGGAAGCGATGCCGCTGACATCCTCCCGGCGGATGCAGCTGTAGCGTACCTGGGGCTTGAGCAGGGGCAGCGAGACCACCTGGATGTCACCCAGGTTGGTGAGGACCGCCAGGTGGTGCTCCCCGTAGTCCTCGGCTCGACAGCTGCTGAAGTGCGCCACGCCGACCCGCCGCACCCGCGAACCCTCTAGGGCCGTCAGCTTCAGCTTCAGCTTGGCACTGACCTTGGGCAGCGTGAACACCTGGGAGCAGGGGCAGCCAGTCACGCCCGCAGCCAGACCACAGTTCTCCGGCTACACTGCCGCTGAGCCCCTGCCCTCCACCCTGCTCCGTGTCAGCGCTCCCCCAGCTCTCAGACGCCGCACTTGGACTGGGAGGATGCCCAGGTCACTGGCTTCCAGGTCTGGATTTCCTCTCTCTTCCACGGACACAGGTCCTGCCTCAGTGTCTCCACCTCTGACCCTAGGGCCCAGGGATGCCACACAAGACTCCTCCCCGTCTTTCCTATGCCTCCACAGCTCCTCAGACACCAACTTCAAACAAAACTTTGAATCTCAGCCATCATTATTTGTGCCCAGGGTCTGAGTCCCTGGGATGTCCCAGGGATTCCTGGGGGATCCGCCACTACCCATGTGGCACCTTGAACTGCTCTTCTGACACGACAAGCAGCTGGTGGCTCCCCTGCATGTCTGGGCTCTTTGACAGGTCATGGGCCACTTCCAGGGGCTCGGGAAGGGGGACGCTGTGTCCGTCCAGCACCAGGATGCCCACCACGGGCGCTCGGTGCATCAGCTGGATCTCCTTGGCTGCCAGAAAGAGGCAACAGCAAGGCTGAGGATAGGTGATGAGGCAGGAGACAGCACCCACCCCAGCCTTGGCAGATCAAGCACCCC